CCCTCCAGTTCCCCGGCGGCTGGGACTTGCCCGGAGGTGGAGTCTCCGGGCTCCTCCGCCAGCCCCCGCAGGGTGTCGGGCTAGAGCTCGGGGCGGGAAAGCCCAGATTTCTTGCGGGTGTTGTGTCGAGCCTCGCTTTCTTGGAGCCAGGGCAGTGCCCGCTCAGTGTGGATGTTGGGGTGCTTGTTCCCGGGACAGCTCGGTCCTCTGAGTGTTCAGGAAGCAAAGTTAGCCCCGCTGGTGTGGTTCAGTGGATAGAGCGCTGGCCTGCGGACCTGGGCTGGATTCCGGTCAAGGGCCCCAAGGGCTCACGCCGGGGTTGCGGGCTCATCCCCAGTGGGGGGCGTGCAGGAGGCAGCCGATCAATGATTCTCATCTTTGATATCCCCTCTCCCTTCCTCTCTGAAATCAATAGAAAGTATGTATGTGTGTGTATATGTATGATATGATTTATGCAGCAGGCACTCGATCCCGCACGCACCGTGCTGGGTGGATGGAGGCAGTGCAGGCCCTTGCCTTAGGGAAGGTGTGTGGGCGAAATAGGAAATGTGGTCTGTTCGGAGCTTCCCTTGTTGACTGTTTTATTTATAGGCGAACCACCTAAGACAAAGTACTCCTGAGCCAAACAATTTTTGAATGGTCTCTTGCTCCGTTTTTTTTTTTTTGTTTTTTTTTTTTTTTACTGTAGAGCTCGGTCATTAAACATTTACGACTCATTGTTTCGTTTTAAATATTTTTACCGAGTTAAAAATCTAAAGTAAACTTTAGGGAAATGCCTGCTTCCCCACCAACCCTGATACTCGGTTTTTTCTGACCTCATAGCTCTCCTTCCCTCTGGTGATTTCCTGTCATCTGAGAAGCCAAGATAATCTGCAGTCATCCACACTTAACGTAACTCAAATTTTAAGTTCCATATGGTGTTTTCAAAGCACACCTTTCATGTCGCCTTTTCATTTGTTTTAGGAACTCTTTGTTCAGTATCTAGCCACCTATTCCTACAGACATGGCAGTGGGAAAGAAAAGCAATCACTTACTTACCATGACTTATCCAACACTGCAGAGGAATCGGAAACGTTCCAGTTTCTTGCAGGTAACTTACAGCTTTCCCCTGCTTTCACTGCAGTAAACATGGTGCTGCTTTCTCTAGGTGCCAGCGTTAGCCGTGGCCTGGCACAGTGGTGCCTGTTGCCTGTGTCTAATGTGGCTCACCTAGAATGGTAATGAGGCCACCAACCTCCAAAAGGGAGTTTGGCTGGGTGGTGAGCGTGGCAGACCTGCGCTCGGACCTCTCCTGGCCACTGAAGGGAACACCCTGGGCTGGTCTGCTTGGCCCCAGAAACGAAACTAATTGTAGAACAGGCGCGGTGGGGGCCCGGCTGAAGGGCTGAGTCTCCCCCTGGGCCCGCCAGTCTGTCACAAGTTAAGTTGGGTGGGTTGCTCACAGGCTGGCCCACACGTAGAAGCACATGGTTTGCACTCAGTGACATGGAAACAGACCTTTAGCATTCGTCAGGAGACCACCCTGCAGGGCAGTCTGATTTCGTCTTGTTTTGGAACCTGCGTTAGAGGTCAGAGCAGGAAGTAGTACGTTTTGACATGAGCGCGGCTGTGTGCATAGTCTACCGCAAGCAACTGCTAATGCTAGCTTTCTGTTTTTAAGATATATTACCAAAGAAGATACTAGCTAGTAAATACCTGAAAATGCTGAAGGAGAAGCAGGAAGAGGAAGAGGAGGAGGAGCATAACCACGATGAGGAAAGTGATGAAGCAGAATCCTAAACCCCAAACAAAATGCTTTACAGTCCGCCTGGGAGGGCCCCCCCAGGACCACCCAGCACTACGCCTTCAGTCTCCTCACCCTCCAGAGGCTTCCGAGACACTGCTCCTTGGCTGAGACGCAGGGCCTGAGGCACTGCACACATGGCCGAGGAGAGCTGTCGGCCGACCCTGCGGTTGGCGGGCACCGAGCACAAGCTGCCTGGACAGCCAAAGACAATGCTCTCCGCGCTCGCTTCGGGTAGCGTTCCAGAGCCTCTCCTAGCGGCTCCAGAAAACAACCGCGTCTCGTTTTAGCTCCATGTAGTTCAAGTTACATTTTGTTACATTGTGTGTAGTTACATTTGCATTTTTGTATTTCAAGAAAATTTGAATATTTGTTTAAATACAGCATTTTTAACTGTAAAGACAAAAATTTTAAAATAAAAGTTATTCGTAGTTTTACAGTAAAATGCTCTAGGTCTAATTTTAGAAACCTCTATTGTCCTACCTAATGCCTCGCTTATTATCTGAGAGTTTTGTGAAATTTTAAAATATGCATTTCTAGCATTTTTATTCCGAGAAAAATTTTAAGTCAAATCATAAATCCAAAAATACTACCTCTGCGTAAGCATATTTTTCTTTTTTTAAAAAAAATATATTTTATTGATTTTTTACAGAGAGGAAGGGAGAGGGGTAGAGAGTTAGAAACATCGATGAGAGAGAAACATCGATCAGCTGCCTCCTACACATCTCCTACTGGGGATGTGCCCACAACCAAGGTACATGCCCTTGACCGGAATCGAACCCGGGACCTTTCAGTCCGCAGGCTGACGCTCTATCCACTGAGCCAAACCGGTTAGGGCAGCATATTTTTCTTAAACACTTTAGAACCTTTTGTATCTTGAAGATATATCTCATTTACTGTTCTTTCTTTACACCTACAGTAACTACCGTCCACAAGAGAAAACCATAAACTCTGTATTTTCTGGCTCTTTTAATCTTTTTTTTTTAAATGAGGTATTTACATCCAGTAACAGCATCCTTGTTCAGTCTGTTGGTTGTGTAAGCAAGCAGTCTGTCCCATCACCCCACCCAAACATCCCACGTACCCCTTGGAGGGACTCCCCCTACTCCCAGGCAACCACTGATGTTTTCTGTCTCTCTTGTTTTTAAAGTTTATTTTTAAAATAAAAATCCACTTTTTGGTGTACAGTTCCGAGTTGGACAAATGCAGAGTCATGTAACCGCCACAAATATGATAACAGCTTTATCACCTCCCGCCAACTTTCTGCAAGGTCCAACGCATTCCTTCCCTTTACCTTGGCGGCCGCTGAGGAGGCTCTGGCTGGAAGCGGCGCCAGCACTTTCTGCAACAGGCGATATGGAAAATATGTTCCGTCTTGTGGGCTGTCGATTACTCAATCCTGCCGCTGTACAGAAGCAGACAGAGAGAGGACCCAAGGAATGAGCGCGGCTGTATTTCAAGGAAATATTTCTGGATGCTGACATTTGAATTTTGAATAGTTTTCATGGGTCTAAATTCAAAAAAAATTTTTTCAACCATTTAAGAATGTAAAAACCATTCTCATCTTATAGGTCCAACAAAAAAACACTGTAGCGCCCTAGCTGGTTTGGCCTACAGACTGAAGGGTCCCAGGTTCGATTCTGGTCAAGGGCACATACCCGGGTTGTGGGCTTGATCCCGAGTGTGGGGCGAGCAGGTGGCAGCTGATCAGTGATTCTCTCCCATCATTGATGTTTCTCCCTTCCTCTCTGAAATCAGTAAAAAGATAGACTTAAAAAAATAAGACAAACAAGCCCACAGTAGCCCCCGGACTATGGTTTTTCTGGTCCATCTTTCCCGAGGGTCATGTAAGGAACCACAGTGCGCGAGGCGGAGGCCGGCTTTTAGTTGAGCACAGGCGCTAGGCTGCTGCTGCAGTGTGGGCTGCCCCGCCCTGGGCCCTGCTTCGGGCTCCGGTGCATGGAGACACCGCGGTTACCCAGTCCCGGGTGAACGGGCAAGTCCCAGTTAGGGTTGTTTCCAGTTTTGACGATTACACAGCCCTGTGAATACTTAGGGAGAACGAAACCTCCGCCTGCTTTAGTGACACTACATCCTAGTATCTTCAGCCACTTTTTGCTTTTCTCAATCCAACTGCCCTGGGCCTTCCCCTTTTAGTAAAGACAGAAGTCAAAACCAGCCCAGGAGGCACAGGCGCTCAGAGCTGCACCAGTGCAGGCAGCCCGGGCCGGGGCAGAGGGGCCACGCGACCGCCGGCCACGAACCCCGCGTATGGACAAGTTTGATTCCCACAGGACGTGGACTCGGGGCTTTCATTGGGGCTCAGTTGAATGGTCTTTTACATAAGTTCCCTGGGGCAGTGCCCAGCACTGTTCAAGGAATGGGTGAGTCCGATGCTTGTAGAAGCCCTAGACCAGCGGTCGCCAACCAGTGGTCCGTGAGGTCTCAACGGTTGGCGACTATTGCCCTAGGCGGTACCAGTAAACACACCAGTGCCCTAGGCAGTATCAGTAAACGCACAAGCAATTGAAGACCTTTGGGAGAAGCAGCTGTAAATACAAGGAATTTTATTTGATTTTTTGCTGACATACTATGAGGCAAAACAAAATTGACACAATACAAAATAACTTTATAAAATATCATTCACATTTACAGCATTCTGTGCATGTTAAGGGTTATGTAAGGAGGTGAAAAAACACTATGCCAAATTTTTAGTATTAGTTTATATACACACAGTAAGAAACAAAACAAATAACTGTTAGGATTTCCATGAATTTATTGCAAAAATAGTGCAAACTACTTTAACCTAGGAAGCTGTAAAACAAACTTGAAAGGACCCAGCTAAGCTTAGACACGGCAGTAGGTGCTCAGCCTCTCAGCCTGGGGCTTTCTTCACCAGTTTAGCCTTTGTCCATCGAGACCACACCCCACCCGTTTGGTTTGGGGTGAGAGCAGGGGAGCCTGGCTCTCCGGAGGGGCCGCTGGGCCGCTGCCCGGGGCCAGCAGCACCTCTAGGGTCATACTCCTCACTCAGTGGCGACCGTGTGAGATGCCACGATGGTTAAGCCTGACCTTAGCAACGAGTGACCCAACCTCTGCATGGCACGGAGACCGAATCCAGGACGCAGCGCAAACGGGAAGGACTGGGAACGCCACTGCCCGCCGACACCCTCTTGGGTGTGTCGGGTAAAGTACGATTCTGCTTGTGGGCAACCTTTGAACCGATGGTGAAGTTAAAAAAGGGGAAAAAAGCCACGGTGTCCCTACAAGGGTAAGTCTGAGGCTTCTTTCAACAGTCTCTTGGGGTCCGAAAAGCATAAATCTAAACAAAACGATAAGAGCAAAACAAAACGCTACACATAAAAGCTAAATAAACAAAATGCAGCACATTCAGGTTCTTTTTCTTGAGGTACCGATATGAATCCAACCACCTGCTCCCGGGACTCCTGCTAGTAAAACAACACTTCCTGGCCAGCCAATCGCGGGGCATCTATTATTATTGAGAAAGTGCAACAGGGCCCATCCTTACATGCAGCATAAAGGGTGACTCACTCCACAAAACAGCCCACGGAGCGGCCAGACAGGAGGTTCACACGAGAGACATTGACTCAGAATTGCCCCATTTTTGAGATCCTGCAGCAGAAAGCCGCCCAAATCAATCAACTTTCAGAGTTCTGCCACTAAGGAATGTTGGTTCTCTTGCAAACTTCAGAGATCTCTTTAAAATAGTAAGACTATCTACTACAGGAAAGATTCCCCTGAATTTTTATGTCTTATTGGTATAAAATCAAATTCTTAAGACTCCAAAATATTGCGTTACCTCCAAAGGATTCAGTTAAAAAAGATCGCCATAGTAGGAAAAGTCTAGATTGTAAACTGCCCAATATAAAAGCGTGGAAAGTGGCCCATCCCCTCCGATTTCATCAGCAACACCTCTGCCCCCAGCAACACGTCTGCAGGTGCGGAGAGGTGAGATCGACACAGTCCATCGCTGCTCAGGAAATCAACTCACAACCAGAGGGAGAAGGGCCAGGCGGCGAAAAAGCAATGGCCAGGGGACGCGGGGCTGCTCTAGCCGCCTTGGATGGCGCAGAGAATGAAGCGACAGCTATAAATATGTGCAGAGAAGAGTCTGGAATTGGTTCGTAAAACGTTAGATTTTCTCTTGGACATAATTGTTCTCTTTTCTCACAAGAAGGCAGTTGGGATTCCAATGTATGTGAGTGGTTGGCTGAGTGTCTATGGAAGGCCAGGCCAGCGGGCTTCTCTCCCACCTGGAGTACAGGTACGTAATTTCACACGGATCTTGTTTTCCACCCATGAGGATTCAACACAAAAGGCACAAAATAAATAAAAATATTATTAAATAAACGGAAACTGTGATTTCAAGCTTCATGTGGAGTTGATAGCTCACGTTTGGTTACCTTTTCCAATTAAATTTGACAGGCTTAGTAAATAGCACCCAACTGTGTAGTGAGGTAGGTCCACATTGTAGAGAAAGCTGGGTCCCCTCCATGTTATGTCTAAATTTAAGATGCTTTTGCAAAAACAAAAATCCATTGAGTCACAGGCAGAAGCGATGGCAGGTGGCACTACCTGAAGAAAGCTTGGAACGTGAGCAAGTAAGATTCGTGCCCAAATCATTCTCTCCATCAGCCGTGAGTCCACCTCAGGTTGGAGGGGGAATTCAGACGTTAAAATAACCCTGGGAAATCTCAAGGCTTCAGAACAGGCCTTTTACTGACTGCCACAGAGACGCACATGGTCCGTTCTTCATTGAGCGATGGCAACAGCCAGGAGAGGGAGGGAGACAGAGATGGAGAGGGGGAGACAGAGAGGGGGAAGAGAGAGGGAAGAGAGGGAGAAAGAGAGAGGCGCATCACTGCAAGTTTCCCTTTGTAACTGGAGAAAAGACAAGCTGAATTACGAGACGGCATCCTGACCTGGCCGGTTGACCCTCACTCGGCCTAACGTTTCTGCCCACTCGGAAACTTATGGAT